TCGCTTCTGTTGTAAAGCCGACAGTCAGCTCTACAAGTTTAAACAGAGTCCCGGCGGCAAAAGTCGCCGGGAGTCTGTTTAAACAGCCCCGATGCTGGCGACGTACACTGTACGTCGTCAGTCACGAAGGGGTTAAACTTCAAAACCTAATAAATCACGAGAGCCTACAATGGTGGGATATAGCTTTCCTAAAGAAATACACAGACTTCGGTATCACCCCCAGAGGACTTCGCATCAAAAGACAATGCGACTTCCTGGATACAGACCTTAAAGACAATTGGCAGCTGTTGGCTGATTTTTGCACCAAAAAATGGATTCTCCTGATCATCACCCAAAGAGAACGTAAACTACACCCATTAATCGGAGCTTATTATCTCCTGTGTGATAGCAATAAAGTTAGAAAAAACACAAAACGTACAAACAGCGCTCTTGTAATCATAATAAGGGGGTGAACAGTGTATGACCCTAGATCGTGTGCAGCCCTGAAACCCAGGAGGAGTGCCTGTGTATCTGCAAACTTGAAACAAAAATTACACCTATTAAAAGATAAAATCACACAATTACAACACACTCTCCAAACCGGTTTTGGCGACTCCTGCCTGTACAACCCTTGGTTGGCCACTTTAAAACACAATACCCACAAACACGAGGACGCCATCATCAGCTCCAAATCCCAGAAATTCCTTAGGGACATGGCAGACTATGCCAATAAAAAGGTTTTTAATTTGAAAAAAGCACCCACCCCCTCGATCAAACAAAGGTCCCCTCCCCCACTTTCCCTTCTCTCGATTACCCCATACCCACTCCGAGGATAGCCTCCCTCACTTGGAACGAGAAAACCAATACGTACATACCACACAACAAGACCCTCACCCACACGTCCCACCACCAACTGATGAAATCCCACTCCATATCCCAATGGATTCTGCCAGCCCCAACTCCCTGTCCCAACACATCCCACACAGATCCCAACAAAGCCACTCCATCCCTGGTTGGGATATAGCTTTCCTAAAGAAATACACAGACTTCGGTATCACCCCCAGAGGACTTCGCATCAAAAGACAATGCGACTTCCTGGATACAGACCTTAAAGACAATTGGCAGCTGTTGGCTGATTTTTGCACCAAAAAATGGATTCTCCTGATCATCACCCAAAGAGAACGTAAATTACACCTATTAAAAGATAAAATCACACAATTACAACACACTCTCCAAACCGGTTTTGGCGACTCCTGCCTGTACAACCCTTGGTTGGCCACTTTAAAACACAATACCCACAAACACGAGGACGCCATCATCAGCTCCAAATCCCAGAAATTCCTTAGGGATATGGCAGACTATGCCAATAAAAAGGTTTTTAATTGGAAAAAAGCACCCACCTCCTCGATCAAACAACGGTCCCCTCCCCCACTTTCCCTTCTCTCGATTCACCCCATACCCACTCGGAGGATAGCCTCCCTCACTTGGAACGAGAAAACTAATACGTACATACCACACAACAAGACCCTTACCCACACGTCCCACCACCAACTGATGAAATCCCACTCCATATCCCAATGGATTCTGCCAGCCCCAACTCCCTGTCCCAACACATCCCACACAGATCCCAACAAAGCCACTCCATCCCTGGATAGTCCCCGAATCAACATTCACCCCACTAGTCATACCACCCAGTCCCAATATTCCAATCCCTCTCCTACTGATACAGACAATTCAGCAACAGAGACCTCTTATCCCTAGACACTTCGCAGGAAAACACGGCAAACGCATCCAGGATCTTTGCGCTTTCGCCATAGAACAAATTCCTGACCATTTCTCCCCAGCCAAACGTTTCCAAAAGCTATGCAGACAAGAAACATTCTGGATATACAAACTGAATACCCTTGTTCCAACGGGACTAAATGAAGAACTGGAAATTTTGACCATTCTATAAACGATGCCCACCCACTGCCCATCGACGCCCTGAATACCCAGACCAATCGGTCCCCCACATACCCGATGTTCCCCTCCACGAACTCAGCCTCAGTTTAAATTGCGTTACGCTCTTCCACATATCAGTATGACCTGCAAGTCCCCGAGCCGAAATACCCGTATTTAATGCTCCCTTTCAGCAGCCCCCTCTCAAATCTGCAATAAAATTACCATACATAATCAGAAATCTATTTTAATACACACACACCACGAATTGTCCCCCCTTCTAAGATTGTATACAATTAGACAATCAACCTTAGAGCGTCCTTTAAGACATTTCTAATGCCTCCCCCCGGTGGTGACTCACTATTCATGTCTGTTATGCCCATGGCACGCTCCCCTACGGACAGAATAGGGGCTGTAGATCCACCCCCAAGTTGCCCTCAATTGTTCAACCTGGCTAGTGTAGCTTTAGCTCTTACCGATTATTACACATGCCGAGGCTCCACTACTTCGAGCGTGCGGCTCCCCCGCCCACTGTCACTAAGCTCCACCCAGCTGTCACATTTAAATCGGCGGTTTCCCGCCGCCACGATATGTTCCTTCTCGAGCTTGAAAAAGAGGTATCACTCCTCGAAACGCGTTGCTCACTGCCTTTCCACCC